CATCGCCTTGGGTGCCGCGTCGTCCGGATTCCTGGAACGGATCGCGGGCTGGCCAATTTTACGGTTGTTTCGTAAGCTTTTGCCGATGGGCTTTTTAAGGATTCCCGGGTGAATGGGTGAGGGAGTACATCGATATTTAGAAAATGACACGAAATAGAAGATGTTATATGTCGTATATTAGTCTATTAAGTATCAGATTAGCTCTTTCTTCGGTCGACGAAAGGAATTCGGAGACGGCGGCCAAGTAGCGCTCGGGATGGTCCTGACGCGCCACAATCAGAGGTCCGTGGAGCATTAATGGCAAATTCAATATGATCCCTAAATCCTGTTCATGGGCGGCGAAGGACATAACCCGCTGAGAAAAAGGATGCTAAGGACATTCGACGGAGGCGCGGGAGTGCCTTGATGAAGTGGCGAGGCCGAACATAAATTGAAGACAGTAATCCTCTTAGCGGAGTTTAAATCTGCCGCCATTTGTACGGTGTGAATCGTGGTTATCCCAAGACCTTCTCTCGGCCGGGACTTGATGACATAAACCGATCACGTTCGAAGAGGGACTCATGTCGATAAACCTTTTTTCTTATGAGAGATTTTCGGCGGGCACGCGTGGAAATAAACAGGGAGGAAGAGGCGAAGTGAGAAAAAGGGCCAGACGGAGGTAGGGGAAGGGATATCGTCAGGTCGCCGCCGCCAGCCATCGTCTCGTTGACCAGCTTATTATTCATTAACGAGCCCGAACCCCCACTGCAACAGAGAAAAGCATCAACAGGTGTGGTCGCGACGGCGGTTGTGGGGGGGCGGGGGGGGGGGAGGGAGGGAGGGGAGGGGAAGGGGAGGGGGGCGAGGGGACGGAAGGGGGGAGGGGGTCATGAGAGCGACAAACAGCGCGGGTGTCGCACGGTGGCCTCATCGCCTCATGTTTGATTTTCACATGTGTCTGGATACCTGGGCTACGGACCTTTCACATGTGTCGCGATACCTGTTCTTATTTGATTACTCGCTCGGGGAGGGGGGGGAGAGGGGGAGGGGTAATTCGGACACCTAGGTCGCTATAAATTTGTTTGGCAAACGTCCACTTTGGCCTCGATTTGAATGGATGGCACGTTGGGGGTTTAAATTCTACGTGTGTCTGTCTGTTGGTTGGTTTTCACATGGGCCATGACAGGTCGAATATCTGATCGCTAATGAAAGGAATGCACATATAATTAATTGGCAAATAACACGTATGGGCATGATAAACAGGAACGAGATGACGAGAGATATGGGGGAAGGGGAAGGGGGAGGTGGGGAGGAGTGAGAAGGCGGGGAATGGAAGGGGGAGGGGGAGGGAGGGAGGGAGGGGGAGAGGAGCGGTGCGAAGGATGAACCTAAAGATGATGCAAGACTTAAAGGTTCCGTCTCCGCCGTTCGTCTGCCTTTTCACTATACATGTACTATATTTTGGGCTTTATTTTAGAGAACATCCCTTTTTTTGTCTGTGCCCAACGTCTTCTGCGTTTTGTTGTCGACCGTAGTTTTTGTGTTGCGAGGCGCCGTTTGGCCGATCGTCTGGGGCCTTCCCTTCTGCCGGAGGGCTCATGACGGGGTCTGGCTCTCGTCACAGGGCGGGCGGCGGCCTGCGCGGAGTCATTTCCTGAGGCTCGTGAGAACAAGGAGAGAGGCTTACCTGTTGATTGCGAGGGATCTCTTAATTATTCTTTTGGGCAGGAGGGGGGTGAGAGAGAGAGAAAGAGTTAAAGAGGCAGAAAGAGAAAGAGAGAGAGAGAGAAAGAGAAAGAGAGAGAAAGCGAAAGCAGAGACAAACAGAGGGTGACCCTCATCCTGTGCGGTGGAGGGCCTGCCATCAATGCACTGCCTTGTCCTACTATACAATCCCTCGCGTAACATTTACCCATCCGGTAATGGACCTTTGCGCCGTCCAAATACCAGGCGCTGCGCACTTACGCGCTATTGTCTCGGCGCAGGCAGCGTATTCGGGGGAAACCATGTCTTCCGCCCTTCTGTTTCGCCGCCTGTCCTGGAATCATCAACGTCAAAATTACGTTTGTGGGTCTTGCGTGTGTCTCTATGCCTATCCTCTTCTGAATTTTTCTTCCTCGTTCTTTCCTTTTCTCTTTCTTTTTTTCTGCTGCAGAGAGAACAAGGAGGGCTTGAAGGGCCTTGCCTCAGCCGCGTTACTCAGGCGGCCCACTGCGCTCGACGTGTTTACTTTTCATAAGCCTCTCTCGCGTGTTTGCCAGACATTGAGGAACCTGCGAGTTCCATGTTGTTGTTGTGTAATACGAACTCGTCTCGCACACGTCAGTCCTTCCTCTCCGCTTTCCCCGTTCTCTCCTTCCTTCTTTCCCCTTTCGCTCTCTCTCCCTCCCTCCCTCCCTCCCTCCCTTGCTCCCCTCCTCCTCGGACTCGCCAAGCCAAGCATTACCGGGAGCCGCAGGAGGTGTTTGGCCAAAGGAGAAGGGTGAGCGAGAGGGCAAATTGGTCCTCACAAGGAGAGAAGTGTTGAGGCGCAGCAGGGGCTCAGGGGCTCAGAAGGCGTCAGTGAGGGCAATCGTCTCGGAAAAAGGCTCGAAGGAGAGAGGGTCCTGTCGAGGAGAACCCTTGGTCAGTGCAGGAACCCCGCGGCCACTGCAGGAGAAACCCAAGGAGCCACTTAAGCGAACCGCATCTGGCTGTGTGTGTGTGTGTGTGAGTGTGCGTGTGTGTGCATGTGCGTGCGCGCGTGTGCGTGTGCGTGTGCGCGTACGCGTGGTCACTCTCCTCCAAACAAGTCACTTAACCCTCCATTCTGCTCGCAGTTCCTACGCTAATTTGCCTTTTTTGCCGAGCGAGAGAGGGCGTGCAAGGACGGCCCAGTATTGACACGCTACGTTACGTAAATGTTTACTATTTGCTTGTTTGAACTCGGCCAAAAACTCGAAAGAGTTGGCGTAGGCCTACCTTTGCTTTCGGGGCTGGGCGTGGAGAATCCTTCCCACCATGAATTATGCAAATGAGAACTGAATTTAAATCAAGAAGTCGGTACATGTGTCTAATAATGGGCCTTTTCTATCATCCGGGGCCTGGCTAATGGCGGGGGCCCGGTGGCACATTATCATAATGATGTATTAATGGCCAGAGCAGGAGCACGGCGCCGGGAAGCACGTGTCTCCTTCGCATGGACAAGGCCGCGCCCTCGTGTGCCTTGGGCGCAGGTGACCCCAGGGCAGCATGTGACACCTTCTGGCTTGACCTCGTTAGACCTGCGGCCGACCTATTGTGATTTTAGGAGTGGGCTGTAAATGCATTTCGCTGTTTCTCGTCAATGTGGGATTCCGTTGCTAATGTGGCCTGTAACCCGGTGTGGTTTGGGGCGCGTGACCCCTATCTGTCCATCTTGACCCGTAAAAGGTCATTGTGGGTTAAGCCAACTCACACCTCGGCACAGGTCAAGTCCCGGTGGAATGACCCAAGTTTTAATCCCCGACCTGAGGTCACCCTCTGCCCTCCCCTTCCTTAGTGTCCTGTCAATCTACCTCATTACCTTTGCATTTTCCTATTTCCTTTGAGTCCTGCCGGAGATGCCGGATATTATTTTTTATTTTTTTTAATGCTCACATTTATCTGCCTGCTTCAGGTATATACATTTGTATATTTAACAGCATATTGCTTATCAAGTTCCAAAAACGGAATATGATTTGCATATACGAGTAAAATGCCATATCCTTCGTAAAAAAGAACTGTGTAAATAATCCAGGGTACCTCTCGTCTGACCTGACTTGACCCGTGTAGACCAAAGCACTGGTGAGCGATCTTGGCGGGTCACAGCTGTCTTTGGGTGACCTGAATGAACAATATTGTCCTCTATATATTTCCTGTGTCCCCCCCCTCTCCCTCCTCTCCCGATACCGAAAAGTACTAATATCACTTCTCTAGTTTATCTCACGGACCATAGTCGTTCACATCCTGTTTTGGAAGAATCAGGTTTGCTTATCTTAACTTGTATAGTTTAGTTACGTCCTTACGCTATATGTTTTCAGGGTGTCGGGAAGGGTGATTATCATGATTGGTTAATTAAATGGGCTTTACGCCCGTGCGGATGTTGGCAGCATATGGCCGAGTCTAGCGAGTTATTAGCAGAGTGTTTCGTCCGCGTTTTCCGTCGCTCGTAATGATAAGAACGGACATTTCGCTGTACTTTTTTGCCCGTTATTGTGAAGTTTTAAAAAAGGAAAATTCGCAGCTGAGTTGAGGTGTTTAGGACTAACTCTGTAAGGCTTAATTTTTTCTCTTTGTGTGTCTCCTTTTCCAAAAGAGATGCAAAAGGGTGTTTTCTTAATAAGCAAAGCGTCTGTTCGGCTCTGAATATGATTTTTTCCTCTTTTTTCTTTCTCTCTTCATACACTGCCGCGGTACCCATTTCGAGCTTCTTTGAAGAGCCACATCTCCCTCTCTCTTTTTTTCTCTCTCTATCTCCTCGGCCTCCCTCCTTTCAGCTCCTTTATTTTGGTAAACGGCAAAATTACTACCTGCGCCGCGCATAATCATAACCCATCCGGAGGTGATTGTGGTTCTTGGTGCCGCGCGCAGGTGGTGGTCTCCTGCCGGCCCCCCTCCGCCGTCTGCCTACAGAGGGAGGCCCTTGTGCTGCCTAGGCCTTGTTGAGTTTAGGCCTAGGGCGCCGCCTCCCGACCAGGCACAAGGGTCGCCCGTGCTTGTGTAAATCTCCTGCCGGCGATTTAGAGCAAGCAGTCATGAGCAGGGTGCAGACTGACGGGTGTTTGTCGCCGCCCTTTGAATGAGAGAAATGACAAATTGGTGCGTTCATGTGTGTGTGTGTCGGTGTGCGTGTTTTTTTGCATGTATTCCGGTTCATTTCGTCATGCATGCGGGGAAGTCCAGCGGAAGGGATCTAAGCCGACATTCCCTCTTTAATCATAAATATCTGTCAATACATATTCTTTTCAACATTAGCCCATTCTTCCGTCGTCTAACCCGGGTTCTCCCTTTGTGCCCAACAGAGCTGGGAACTCCTGCTGGTGTCCAAGCTTGGCTGGGACCTGTCTCCTGTCACGGCCGGGGACTTTGTGGACCACCTCCTGAACCGGGTGCCCGTCCTGGCGCGGGAGCCCATCGTCAGAAGACACGCCACCACCTTCGTCGCCCTCGCCGCCACCGGTAAGCTACGGGCGGAGTTGCGTCTCGGCCTCGGGAAGTGCTGGTGTTCGAGACGAGCAATGTACTGTTAATTGTGAATCAGTTTGTTATGATTCCTTGTTTATTAAAGTCAGAAAAATGTTTTGCTCGTCACGCAGCACATCCCGAAGTCCGTGCAAGTTTATTATTGTAAAAGTTCCCATATTTGGCGCGATAATTCCACCACACAACAGAATCGGGTCGCGTGGAGTACAGCAATGTAGCAGCCCCCGTGTTATCTGTTATCATCACGGATGGCGTAGGTGTTATCTTGTTTATGAGCCACTGTTTTATGTCAACAGCGCCGCTCCAGCCGCTGATAGACAAAGCGGCCCGAGCAGCTGTCAGGATTTAGGAGCTTATCTGCGTGTTTTGTCACGGGCTCTACTTTATTGTCCGGTGATATATTATTAGGCAATGCTCATTATAACCAAAAAATCCCTCCGCGCACGTGGGCCCTTTCAACTGTGGACGGGTGAGGGTGGCCGCGATCCACGGAAATTTTGCTCGTCGACTTCTCAGGAACCTGGGCGTCACTTGGCTTCGAGGAAAGCGATTTCTAATTCATCATGCTGCTAGATCAGACATGGGTCCTTAACTGAGCTAATTATGACAATTGTGTTAGAGGATTAAATGATGTTGCATTAATATTCCTGTCGACGCGCAACACCGGCCTCCCGCGCGAATTGCCCTGACCCTCCCGATCGATCGCCCAATCAGCAGCCAGCATCCGACATGTGTCTTTACGGGTTGCCTCGTGTTGTCTCCGCCGAGTACCGCTTTTTTTTTTTCTTTTCTGTTGAAATGAAGCGCGTTTTATGATTAGATACAAGTTTAATTCAGATAAAAGTGTAATATTCTAAAAGTCGTGATACTGTTCGATACGCAGCATAAAAGTTCCATACGTGTAGGCACCCTCCTCCTGGCGCGTTCCGCGGACCAATGAGCGGCCGGGAACATCCAGCTGGCACCCGCCGCCGGCCAATCAGCGCGCTCCCAGCCCAACAGATGGACGTGAATACGACCTATCAAAACTCACCCGAGACCCATAGACCCGTTCGGACGGCTGGTGTATTTTAGAGGGAACAAAATGCACTTATTGAACGAAGTGGATTGCACGATGACAAGAGAACTCCCCCCCCCCTTTCCTACACAACGCGATAAAATTCAGTAGCCTCGAGTATTTCATGTAAGAGTTGCTGCCTTTAGGGCGGGCACCCGAAACATACCCTCCGACGCCCCGAGTGTCAGATGCCCGCCGGCAGATGTGGGTTGTGTACCCTCACAGTATAGTCCAATTCGTGGTGTATTCAGGGGTATTGATGGGTGACGGCGGCTGTGAGCTGGAACACCTGAACTTCAGAAGTGTGCGGGGTCTGTCAGCGCGGCCGCGGGTGTACTGTTACACTGCGCTGGTACACCCATTACCCTCTGTTTGTACATCTTTCGGGCCTTCTGTGCGTCGTTAGTGCGCTCCTTCCGCGTCATGGATAGGCCCACCTGGACTTCGTTTAGTTTTTGTTTTCGGCCCTTTTTGTACGCTGCAGTTTCCCCTTAATCCCGTTCGCCACCTGGTGTCGGCGGTCGCAATCGCTCTGCATTAGATACACGTAGGGAGAAGGAGAAGAGAGAAGGATAAGCTAGAAAAAAATATGCGCCTTACCCTTAGTCTACAAATAAATGCAGGATAAAATACCGCAACGCATTAAAAAGTAATTTGTTCAGCTTGACATTGAAAGAGGGATTGGAGGGAAGGCGAGATAGGATAGAGGAGGGGGGGAGGGGAAGGATAAGGGATAAGGAAGGCGATGTCATGCCCGTAGGATGCAGGTCTTAGCGGAAAGGAGGAAAGGGCGACGAGGGAGAAGGAAGATCAGCTTTTCTCGATATAAAAAAGAGGAAAACGAACCTTCTCCAGCTGTGGGAACGTTTTTTCACACTAACCCGCCTTCTTATGTGTGTAAACAGAGATTCGGCCTCACGAAAATCTCGCCTTTAAGAGTGGACGGTCTGAGTGGGTTTCCTTTGATATTTTCCCTCCCTTTTTGGCGTCTCTTTCGGGGGTCTTAACGTCCGGAGAGGTGACGTGGTCTTATTTCTTTCCCTTTTGACCAAATTGTATTTTTTCGCGAAAGATACAGTTCGTCTTTGACTCTTCTATTTCTCCCTTTTAACTCTTTATCATTTGTTTTTACTGTCTATTTATGCCGGAACTCTTTGGTGTGGAGTCGCCCCCTTCCTCTCCTTCTTTCTCTCTCTCTCTCTCTCCCTTTTTTATCACCCCTTGCTCTTTATGCTCCGTTTAGCCATGCTCCTCTTGTGCACCTTTCTTTTTTCTTCTCTCTCTCTTTCTTTCTTGCAGCTCTTCAAAGGGTCATCGTTTATTTAGCTCTCCCCCTCTTCCCCCCTTCCCTTCGATAATTAGCATCTGAATATCTCCCAACAGCATCCTGTGGCATCCAGCTTCACTTCGGGAGATGAAATTGTTACTTGGGCGTAATGAGCGGATGTTTGGTCTGGATAAACATACCCACACGCTATATATAGTGTTTCTCTCGTCTTTCCATTCTCTTCTCTCTCTCTCTCTCTCTCTCTCTCTCTCTCTCTCTCTCTCTCTCTCTCTCTCTCTCTCTCTCTCTCTCTCTCTCTCTCTCTCTCTCTCTCTCTCCCTTCACTTTACGCTGAAAGTTACTCGCCATCACCTAGGTTGCCCCTCCCTTCCCTCTTCTCTCCCCTCCCCCGACCATCATGAGCCTATTGTCAAGATTCCTCATCAAAACATGGCGGTGTTGGGCCTATGCCAGCGTCCGTTACACCCATTATGAGAGGAGTCCCCCCCGACGCGCAAAAGAAATGCAAAACGAACTATATTCACATCTCAGACTCGCCTTTCATTGCAGTTTATTGCTGGTTCACAACACAGGCGAATGATTGAGTCCCTTAACCCCCCCCGGAAGCCGGCCTAGGCCTATAGAACTCGCCTGATGGATATCACTTTAAAAGTCGATATAAATTAGTAATCACAAAACCGGCAGGCGACATGGCTATTAGCGAGGCCCTCCCCAGACATTGGACGGCGGAGGAGAGGCGCATCGACTCATATTTTATGCTAATTGATGCCTTGAGCAATTTGTTTGGGACGCGACTCGAACGGCGATTGTACATGCAAGAGAGAGAGAGAGGGAGAAAGGGAGCGAGAGGGTGAAATAAAGAGAAATACAAAAAGGAAAGAGAGAGAGAGAGAGAGAGAGAGAGAGAAAGAGAGAGAGAGAGAGAGAGAGAGAGAGAGAGAGAGAGAGAGAGAGAAAGAGAGAGAGAGAGAGAGAGAGAGCGAGAGAGAGAAAGCGAGAGAAAGAGAAGAATGAAAGAGGGAGAGACTACGCAGGTCCCTCCTAAAGAATACTAAACTCAATGTCCCTTCTTTCCCTCCCCTCCCCACCCCTCCCCCCTTCGCCCCACCCATCCAGGGGCTCCAGCAACCAGCAAAAACACCCCTCTACTTGTGGGGGCAAAAAGTTCCTCCAGTGTTCACTCGGCCATAAGACTTTTTGCACGATTTTGCAAATGAATGAACGCATTTACAACCTCACAAGAGTCTGCTGGAGTCTCTTCAGTTGCGAAATTAGGGCACCGCAAATAAATCATTTTTTCTTCGTTATTTTTATTTTTCTCATTTCGTTTTTCGGCCACCTGTTCTTAGCCCTAATGTCGGCCTTCAATCTCCTCTCAAAAGAAAGAAAAGAAAAGAAAAAAAGGGAAGTTAAATCATGTGCCGTCAAGATTTGCCCGCCATTGGCAAGCGATCCTTCAAGGACAAGAATTAATACCGTCTGAACAAGGAAACGGAAAAAAATCTCGTTTTCTTTTGCTGTGTGTCTCGACCGTCGGTAAAAGGCGACCTTGATCGATCTCGAACCAGCCAGCCCTCGGGGGAGATTTAGGAATAATAACCTTACAAAAGAAAAATGAGAAAAGGGGCCCAAAGAGGAGGAGGAGGAGGAGGAGGTTGTCGTCTGTGAGGCACCGACGTCTTCCCGAAGCTGAAGAAGAAGGCGATGGCGACGGAGCACAGATGGCCGATGGATTGGCAGCGGTCGCGTGGCCGCCGGGAACTCTCGGGACATTTTCTTCTTTCTCTTCCAAAAGACATTTTCATAAATCGACTCGTTGGCAAAGACTGTGTCACTCCTCTGAATGTTGGCTTTTTGGCTTTTCTCTTCCGCGAGAAAAGAGTAAGAGAGAAGGAAGAAAGGAGGAGGACCTGAGAGACACAGAACGCATAGACAGGTTAATGTTTCACTCAAGCTCATTCCTGTGCCCGGGACTTCCTGTCATTGTCTCCCTTAAACAGTCCTCGGTTTATGGCGTCCGACACCCCCGCCAGACCGCACGACGCGCACCAACCTTACGAAAGAGCCATCCCTGTTATCTTAAGCATGCGACGCCCTTCAGGTGGCTGCGGGAGGAAGCTGCGGCCGACGACTCCTCCGTGACGGACGACCTGCGGAGCGATTGACGACACGGAGGGGGGGAGGGGGGGCAGCTTACCTAAGAAGAAAAAAGGACAGTTTAATTCCCTCTTTTTTAAGGACATTCCTGAGGCGCAGATGGTGACTTCAACGCTTTCGTAAATACCTATCTTCATCGTCTTCCTCCCGATCGCCTTCCTGATCATCTGTTATTATTCTTGTCATACCCTTATTCCTCCCCTTCTTCCTCTTCTTCCCCTTCCTCCTCCTCCTCCTCCTTACTCGGAGCATAATTACGTATCATAACACTCCCCTTTAATTAATGACCGGTCCGTTCAGGCGAGTCCTCAGGGTACAAAGACTTGATAGCGCGGCGCCCCGAGCTACCCGCACGCGAACCAGGTGACGTGGGACTCGAACCTCGGCCTCGGGCGATGTGCCGAACTGGTTTCATGTGCGCGTGTGTGTGTGTCGGCTATTTGTGTACGCGGGTATGTGTGTGTGTGCGTGTCT